TCTAATAAGAACATCTTTGTTAAAAATAATATTATCTTATATAAAAAATCTATTAAAACATTAACTATAAGTTGTTCTATTTAAAGACTTATATTTAAATTTCTGATAATAATAAAAAATTTGATATTTTTATTTCAAATAATAAAGCATCTACTCATAATTCAGTTAATAATATACTTTTACAAGCTCAAGTTCCTAATAATTTAATTCTACTTAGTCAAATATATCATATAAAAATACTTCTTCTGACCTATTTTATGATATTTATTATATTTAATTTATGCATAAATTTTTATAAATTAAATCTTCAGTTAATAAACTACATAATAAAATAAATTTTATAGTGATAGTTTTATATATAATTATCTTAATATTTAATAATCCTAATATTTAATAATCCTTAATAAGTACTATACCAAATAAAATAATTGAAATGGATTATCTATAACATATTTATTTAATATAAATCACATAAATATTCAAATAATCCAATTTTTAGTTTAATTAATAATCTAAACTTTTATTTTTTATTATTTATAATATAAGAAATTGTTTATCAAAAACTAATTATAATAAATTAAAACTTTTTTATAAACTTTAATTTAGATATCTTTGGATTAAGTAAAACTTACTTCATAATATTATATCAATAAAAATTTATATGACAAATCCTATAAATTTATTTTTCATAATGATAATCATTTACAAAATTATCAAGATATTAGATTTATTATAAGAAATTTACTATATTATCATATTTTTATAACATTATTTTGAATTATTTTATTAAAAATAATTTAATATTAATTTAATTTGCATTTTTAGTAAATAATTATATGTATTTTTAAGTTGTAATTTACATTATAAAGGTTTAAACATATTTAAGTTTAAAAGGATTTAACATTAAAACTAATATAAAAAATCATAATAAAATTTATATAAAATATGCTAAAAGTTATTTTTTAACTTATAATTTAAATATTTTAAATTATAATTGTTTTTTTGTTATAGTATACTAATTGTTTACTACAAAAATTACTAGAAAATATAAAAATGAAATAATTTTTAAATTTTTCAACCTTGTAAGTATCTATAAAAATTAAATCATACTTATAATATTTGATTAATTTATGAAAATAATTTTCATTACTAATAATTGTGATTTAATAAGCATTAGAGATAAATCTTTTTATTTTTTTTTAAAAGTAATATTATTTTACAACAAATCCATTCAAAAGTAATATTTTTTAAATCCAAATCTTGCATATTTAACAGATTTTATCAAATCAATATTAAGATACTAATCTATTTATTCTTCTTTTTTAATCCTATAATTTTTTTCACATAATAAATCTAAAATTAAAAGTTACTATTTCTCTCTTTCTCTTGCTGTTCAAGTTCATTATGCTTAATATAATTAAAAAAATTTAGTAGAATTTTATTATTCATTTTTGAATATAAATTAAAAAAATTATTAAAAGAAAAAAAAATTGACCAATCAAGCAGATCCCTAATAATCTAATTGAATCTCAATTCCCAATCCAATCTCAATCACGTGTTTTGTAAAGTCGCAAACTTTATAGTTTTTACACTCGGTTTGATTCCAACAGAATTGTTCGTTTCCTTTTATGGATGTTGCAATTGTTTGTAAACAGTCTATGTAATTATTCTGACGTATGTCTCATATATAAAAATATCAAAATAATACATAAAGAAATTATAACAGATAAAATAATTGTATCCCTCCTTTTACGCGAATTTATTTTGCCTATTAAACTGTTTAATCCAGGAAACGTATCTAAATGAATAAAAAAAATTAACAAAGTCAATTAAATTTAATAGTAGTTACTAATGCATACTTATTAGACGACTCATTCGACTATTAATATTTAATAATGAGCTTCTTTGTCTTCCCATTTCTTCTCTTGTTTCATATGCTTGTCTATAATTAAAATACAAATATTGAATTAATTTCCAAATTGGAAAAGCTTCTTCCGATCTTTTAATCAATTAAAACATACTCAATAACCATATCCGTCATTCTATGTGAGCTTTCTATTCTGCCTCTTTCGCTTAGAAAATAATCAGTTTCACTACTTGCCCCTGATTTAAAGGAACTATTAAAAATACAAAAATGTTTAATTACGTGAAGAATGTTAAGAAAAATTAACGTTCAAGCTTGCCTGATATCTTCTCTAACTGAGCTCAATAAATCTGAATGATTTTTTGCTGCCTGTATATTTGCCTATAAAGTAAATTATATAAATATTTTATTTCATTATACATAATGATATGTGATTATTTCTTATATACTTTTGTTTTTTTAAATTCTTTTGAATAATCATATAATATATCTCTATGCCTTTGCAACATATGCATCATTGATGGATTTGTTGACGTTGTTGAAGGTCTATCTACAACTTCTGCCATAGAGTTGACAACTGAAGTAAGCTAAACGAATAAAGTTAAGTAAAGATTTAATTTAAAATAAATAAAAATGATAGAAATAAAAGAATCGATTACCTTCTTGATTAACTCTTCTAATTCCAATTCCATAGCCTCGCTCGAATTTCCCGCCATGCCATCATTTTTTTTGCTTCCAAGACCATATCCCACACTTCTCCCCACTTGTGCAGCAATTTTAGAATAACTGGTAAGTTTTTGCTCAAGCTCATTTTCTAATTGTCGAGCCTGTTTTCGCAAATATTCCCAAGATTGTTGCGAAGTAACACTTGTGGAAAGATCAGTTGAAATGGGAAGAGACAAAGAATTATGAAGTGTAGCAGGTGATGGTGAACCAGGAGTTACCGAGTTATTCCTATTCATTCTTATTACGATAAATAGAAACTTGTAATTAAAATATAAAACTAAAAGTAATAAGGTTAGATGTCAAAAGAATAGATTTTAAAAGGTTATAAAATTATAATAATCGTTTATGGACTTTATTACCTAATACAAAAAATTTTCTTAATTATTATGTACTTCATGTAAAATAAAAAAATTTGGTTATTTCTATTTCTTAATTTGGTTAAATGCGATCATTGTGTACTTGAATTCTTGCATAAAACATAAAATTTGATCGGGTTCACTTGTTTTTTATTTATTATATATTTTTATTATACGAACGTGTGAAAGAAAATGGCTGATATAAAGTTTTTTTCAAGCTTGGCAAAAAAGTATGCTTTTAACAACTATTATTATTCAACAATTTATCCAATATTATGTTTTAATCATATTTTTTTAAAGGAGCTTTTTACGACCACATACCTCTACATTACCTGGAAGGTAACGAACGATGTGACTCTTTTGATTCAATGGCTAACATAATATTATTTAAGCAATATTTATGTTTAAACTTTCTAGTGTTAAACCGGTAGAATCAAAGACAGGAGCTACAAAATTAGTGATTGGTGCAAAATATTCTTTTGGGCAAATCGTATCGAATAGTTCTGATGATTTAAGGTATTACATTTAATAAGCGCATTTCATTCATTCATTCATTTTTTTTTTTTTTTGACACTTATTAAAAAAACTATTTATAAAAGTTATTTACAATCTCGGTCATCACAATCGCTATCTTCGCCTCGTCGCGAACCCTCCCCAAATCCATCTGGAAGTACGTTTTCTTCCGAAACAAATAACGAATCAGATGAAGATGATTTGTCCATGGATAAATTAAAGATTCACAATCACGCTAAAGAATCTCAAACGATTAACAAAGATCATGAAAAAATGTCAGAAATAAATTCTAATCGGTCGATATTCGTTGAGAAAAGTTCCATTGGACTCAAGCCTGATATCGCTTTATTAATTCAAGGCAATTCATTAGTCTAAAAATAAATTTTTAACGAATTTTTTAATGAATATTTAATAATGTTAATATTTTTTTCTCCTTTTAGATCCTATAAAGGCAATTAGTTCGATGAACTTTTCAAACGTGGTTATAGGCCGTTTAAATGAACCACTTGAAAGATGTCTTAATAAATTCAAAGATGTATTGCAAAGTGCAAATATTGATTTAGGTATGTGTAAATATTTAAATTCGTCTATTTAAGATCAGATACTAATTAATGTATTCTAAATGCAGCTGCTCTCAAAAAACAAAGTTGGCTGGGCATACCAGATGAGTTGAGATCTATAACATGGCAATTACTTTTGGTACATTTTAAGAATACTTTCTTCAATGAAGACTTTTATTTAATATCTCATTTTACAATGTTAGGAATATCTCCCCTGTAATGCTGATCGTCAAGTTAAAACTTTGGCGCGAAAAAGGAAAGAATATATTGACCTAGTCTCGCAAACATATTCTAAAGGAATTGCTGGATTGAATCAAACGATTTGGCATCAAATTCATATTGATGTGCCTCGAACAAATCCCGGTATCGCTCTTTATCAATATGAGACTACTCAGCAGGTTACATCAAAAATAAACAAACTTTTTAATTTAATTTATGAATAATTTGGACTTATTTAAAATATTATTACTTTTAGTGTTTGGAACGTATACTTTATCTCTGGTCAGTCCGACATCCTGCTAGTGAATATGTTCAGGGAATCAATGATCTTGTCACTCCATTTTTCCAAGTTTTCCTCTCTTTTTATATTGGTTAGTACTTATTTTTATTTTATGAAAATTAAATTTCCACTTTTGTTTTTATTAATTTGAGTTTCATTATAGATGAAAATCCAGAAAATTATGATACTAGCAACCTCCCAAAAGATGTTTTGGATGTGATTGAGGCAGATAGTTATTGGTGCTTATCTAAATTACTTGATGGTATTCAGGTTGAGAATCTTAAACACAATTTAATAAGAATTAATTGACCTTTTAAAAGGGATTTAACAATAATACTTGTTCTTATTTGATTCATAGGATAATTATACATTTGCGCAGAGTGGTATACAAAGGCAAATTAATAAATTAAAAGACTTAATCAACCGAATAAATGGTATAATATTCTTTGATTTATTAATATATATTATGTTATTAGTAAACACACTTTTAATATATATATATATATTATATATAGCACCACTTGCAGCTCATTTACAAGAGGAAGGTGTAGAATATATTCAATTTGCCTTCAGATGGATGAATTGTTTGTTAATGCGCGAAATGTCATTAAAGCATATAATTAGAATGTGGGATACTTATCTTGTAAGAAGAAGAATAAAAATAAGTTTTTGTCATTAGAGTGTTGGATTTTAACAAAAATAATTGTATAAATTTGTAGGCGGAAGGATCAGAAGGATTTTCTGTATTTCATTTGTATGTTTGTGTAGCATTTCTAAATATATGGTCAGATAAATTAAGGTCTATGGAATTTCAGGTATTTATGTATTTATGTCCAATAAAAAAAGTTTCTTTTTAAAAAAAAAAAAAAATTGTAACAAGCAATTAATTTATTATCAATATTATAGGAAATTATGATGTTTTTACAATCACTGTCTTTACCAACAGCTTATTGGACAGAACGAGATATTAAGGAGTTATTAGCAGAAGCATTTAGATTAAAAAGTTTATATCATGAAGCACCAAATCATCTATCAAGAGTTTAAATTTAAAATTTTTGTATTATTATAATCTTTTTTTTTCTTTTTCTTTTTGTATATTATCATCAGTACTTTCTTTTTTAATTTAAAGTAATTAATCTGTTTTCGATTTTACTTAGGGATTATATATTTTATATAACGATTAATAAAAAAAAATCAGATACGTAAATAATACTAATATATACTAGTTTATTTAAAATATAAACTAAAAAAAAAAAAAAATTATTATTATTATATTTCCATACTCTCCAAATTACTAAAAAAAATTTTTAAAAAATACACATACCAAAATATATAAAAATTAATTTTTAGGATTAGTTTGCTCCCAATCTACTTGATATGAAAAAAATTTGAACTTAAGTAATAAAGAGAATGAAGCATGAGCTGCTATCACAATGATTAAGAATAATCTAGAAGTTTTCGAATCAGCTCTTGATATAACTGGATAAAGATTTCTTGCTATGAAAAATCCTGAAATTGCAAATCCAAAAATCACAAGACCCCATCGAACCGTGTCGGAAGGAATAACACTAATGATCTAAGATAATGAAATATTTATAATGATTAAAATAAAACTTTTTAAAGAAATAAATAATAATAATAAAATGATAAATATACATACAGAAATAGGCAACCATACAGTTAAACCATAACCATATAAACCAGTAGTATACAATAATGAAGGTCTACAGCCAAGATATTTTAATGAACCCCAAACAATAAACGGTATAACAAAAGTATATGTGTAAATAGCAGCAAAACCAAAAGATAAAATTGTAATATCATAATTAGGATTTTTCTTTGAAATAATAGCCGCAATTGATTTGGCAATTGTCGCTGTTACAAAAAGTAAGAATATAACAGTTGTGGATATCCAAAAAGGTCCTTAATAAAAAATAAATAAAATAATGAGAATATTGATAATAATTAATTGGAAACCTAATACAAAATTAGAGTGTACCATATAAATCAGGATTTGGTCCGACTACATCATCAAAATTATCTTTGGGAAAAAGACTTTTGGATGCTCTTTCAAGAACCTTTATAAAAAAGATCATATTTAATAAAAACGAAGAAATAAAAATAAATAAATTGTTTATAATATAAAAACAAACCTGATCGGTATCTACATCGAAATATTGAGCATAATATTCAATTGACCAAAAAGGGTATGAACCGCCTTGTGATTCATTTCGAATTGACTGATGTGGATCGAAAAATGTTGCATTGTTAAATCCTATTAAATTATTTAATAAATTTTAAATATAAACAAATAATTGTAACAAGATAAATTTGATAATAAATTGATAAATACCATCACCACTAGAGTTTGCTTGTTTATCTTGAGATATGTTACCACCAACTCCAGAAGTAGAAGAAAAATCTATAAGTGAAAATATCAGATCGAGTTAATAAAAAAATTAGAAACACCTAAGAGACACCTATAAGACGAAAGAAAAAGAATCACCTTGAAACTCTAGCTCTTCTCTTCGAACAGGAGACTTAGATTAGAGATTGGATAACTTTAGTATAAATAATTTTAGAAAATAACAACTTTCCATTAGACTTACTTCGTCATCCACTTCGACGACCACACTATATTCATCTCTCGACATTTTGCTTAGTTTCTAATCTCAAAAACTGTGAAATTTCTAAGAAAATGCTCGATACAATCATTTTATACATTGGATTTTGGTGTTACTCGAATACACAATTAGGCATTGTGTAACTTTCAGACGGGGCAATCGTTAGTTGGTTTAAAGCAGGGACGATGATCTCCGGCGGCGAAATTTCGCAAAATCTGCCGGCGTTTATTTTAAAATCTGCGGCTTATTGTCATCATTCTGCGAATATTTTATTTATATTAATTATAATTTCTGCGAAAACAAAAATAAATTTTATTATCCCAAAAAAAATTTAATTGCCATTAAAATACATCATATTTGATTTTTTCAAAGAATCTTCTGAAAGATATTGGCGAATAACTAGATACAGGTAATCAAATATAATTAAGTGCAATTTTTGAAAGAATTGGTAATTTATCTTCAAGATTCATCCAATATTTTCTAAATCAACCAAATTATATAATTGCAATCTACAATAAATTGCTCATTCACAAAGCAATTCATTAGAAGGATTTGTTAATTCTCTAATAATATTATAACAATGCAAATTTTTCTTTCTAAAGTACCAAGTAATATATATTTAGGATCAAAAATTTGAGCAGCTTGAAAAAGAGGACATGCAACATGTGAAGGAATATGAGAATT